AGCTCATTTTCCGTAAAATTAGCGAAGGCCGACTTTTTTACGGAGAAGTATAGTTTCAATGAGGATTTTGGTTGTTTGATTTAAACTATAATAGTTAAACTCGTAAAATGCCTAATAAATGCTGCGTTTATGGTTGCTCCTCAAATTACAAATCAAAAGTAAAAGATAATGTTTATGTCACAATGTATAGATTCCCCTTTAAATGCGAGGATCGCGAGTTATGGATTAAAAAACTTCCAAATGCAAACTTTGTGTTTACAGATTATAAGCGAATTTGTGCTCAGCACTGGCCTAAAGATGCAGAATTAAAAAAAGTCAAGGTGGTAGTTTTGTTCCAGTGCATCCTCCATCAGTCTTTAAAGGTATACCAGTGTCTTGTATTCCAATAGTGTCTAGAAAACGAGATGTCACTGGGTTATTATGCTCTGAAAGAAATATTTTACCTGATGAGTTCGAAAACTTCAAAAAAATGGACGTTATTCAATTTAATTCAATTGTAAAAAATTTGAAGTCAATAATAAATAACTGTGAAGAAAAATTTTATTTTGTTGAAAAAGAAAAAAATATATCTTTAATATCATATGAACATTGTGGACCAGTACCTAAGTTTTCAATATTTATAACTTTAGAAGATTCTGGAGATATTTATTTTACTGGATATAGCCAACTTTTACAAATTAAACTGTCTTTTTTAAACAAAGGAGTTATTAAATATTATTCTCAACTGGAGAATGCTGTTAGTTATGTTATTAATAATGAAACAGATTCTAAGCGAGCAAGTTATATTAGGCATCAAGTAGCTTTATTAAATAAAACAAACAATACACCATTTTCTTTAGAGGACATTTCTGATGCATTACATCTTTATTCAAAATCTCGTTCAGTATATTTTGATCTCGTTGAGAAGCTTGTTTTGCCAAGTGTACGAGAGTTACAACGAATGACAAACAAAATAAATAAACTTGAAGATACTGAATATTTAAAGATGATATTTAAAGAACTTCAGGAATTTCAAAAATACTGCTTTATCTTGGCTGATGAGGTGTACATAAAACCTGGGCTACGGTACTCTGGTGGTAAGTTATTTTTAACTAATCAACTGGAAAGCCAAGATTTTTGTTTTTAGTTTTTTTTTTCAACTATTGTTTGAAAAGCTTAAATAATTGTAGAACTCTCAATTAGTTAAAATAAATCATTGAAAAAAAATATTTTTTAAGGTGTTAATTTTGTTTATTGATTATAGGTATTGTGTATGGTGAAGCAGAAAATATCCAAGAAAAAGCAAAAACAGTTTTAGCACTAATGCTTCTTTGTCTTTTTGGTGGCCCACGACTTGTTATAAAAGTTTTTCCAGTTTGTAAAGTTACAACAAATTTTCAAACAAGCGTGATAGAAGAATTAAATCAACAAATCATAATTGCAGGTGGAAAGCCTCTTGGGTTAATAATGGATAACTGTCGAGTAAACCAAAAAACATTTCAATATTTTAATGCAAAAAAAGTTCCAGCATACTATCTTTTAAATGACACTGTGCATATTTTAAAATGTATTCAAAATAATTGGATCACTGAAAAATTACAATGTTTAAAATATAGATTGCTAAATGATAACGATACTGTGCGACTTGCAGAATGGAAATTTATAATTCAACTTCATGCTGCAGATAGTGGAATATTTAAGTTGTCACCCTTAACACAAAAAGCTGTGTCACCAAAACCAATTGAACGACAAAATGTTGGATTAGTTCTTAAAGTTTTTTGTGATGAAACAGTTGCAGCATTACGTGTAAAATTTCCTGAAGCTGAAGATACTGCACTTTTTATTGAAACAGTTGTTAAGTGGTGGCTTATTGTCAACAGTAAAGCAAAAGGTCTAGATATTAGATTAAATGATATTCGAAGAAAGCCTATTACTTCAGTCAATGATTGGCAAATCGATTTCTTAGAGAACCATATTTCGTATTTTGCTGAAAATTTGAAATGCGTATATTCAAAATTAAGAGAGAAAAAGTTAACAATGGATACTGCAAGTGCTTTGCAAAAAACTTCTAAAAGATTAGCAAGCTGTGCCAAGTATTTGTTGAATTGCGGTGTATCTTATGTACTGTTAGGACATATGCAATCAGATGCACTAGAAAAACAGTTTGGGAAATATCGGCAAGGGTCAGGTGGCATATCTGATAACTGTGCAAAATGATATTCAAAAATTTAGATTCGACAAAACTAGAAAGTTGCTAGACAAGCATACAGATTTTACAATATTTCCTCCTGCTCACCACCACTGTGATAAGTGTGAACTTGATGTGGAGTTTAATATGTCAATATGTGAAAATTGTGAGGATCAGTTGCCAAATGAATGCAAACAAGGGCTTTTATATATTGCAGGTTTTATTGCTTACAAACTTCCAGAATTACATTCAATTTTAGAAGAAACAGACACCTTTGATATGTTTCAAAAATATGGAACTTTGATCAGTTCTTTGAACAGGGGAAGACTAAGAGAACCTTCTGACAATTTAGTCTACTTTGTTTTTTATTGTTTTTTTATATTTGAAGTGACACTTGTGAATAAAGTTTCACCATTGCTGTGCAAGAAAGGATTAATTGACATTTTTATTAACTGCAATAGTAAATTTCAATTGCTTGTTCATAGTGTTAAAAAAGTTTGCTGCATTTTGGCAAACATTTTTTTAAACAATTATTGTAAAAAACACTCTGAAGATTTTGGGAAGGAATGTTTAATAAAACAAGCAAAACTTTCAACTTCAAAATAAAATACTTTGAGTCAAAAAAGTCAAAATAATTTTAATAAAATAAAGTTAATATATTTGTTTGTTTTTATCAAAAAATTTATTATTTGTATTACAAGTGTTAAACAGCTAAAATAAACATAGTTATAAAAACAAGATTTAGTCATTTTTAGCTAAACTCCTTAAATTTTTTTATTTAAAAAAAAAAAATTCCAACAATATTTGCTTTCGAAATTCAATCAAAATGTTTTGTCCTAATAAAGCTCTTTATTTGTTTCTGAAGTTTGTTAACAAAAGCAAAGATAAAAAATAATTTTAACCGTAAAAAAGTCGGCCTTCGCTAATTTTACGGAAAATGACCTGTCGCGGCCTGTTTAAGTAGGCCTTGGTTTAAACACATAACTAGCATTCCACACTACACATGCTCGAAGAGTTTAGCAGAATCCACTGTAAAATCAGTAGAATTTATAATTAAAAAATTTCATATGTTAAAATTTTTAGATGTATTCTATGATTATGTAATGCTCTAACAAATGGTGGCTTTACTCCATGCATAACTACAAAAATGGAGAACTGCTGAGGGAATTCATTGAGACTTCAGAATTAAAATAAGAAACCGTTTAAAAGTTTTAAAAAAGACTAAAAATATAACGATGAAAATATTGTAACATACTACTTTAGAAAAGGTGAAAAAAAAAAAAAAATCGCGCAGGACCGGCGCGTGTAGGTGTCAAGTGGGGGTGCTATTAGATTTTGCCGACTAAAAAGAAAAAAAAAGGCCCTCGTATTTTGATATTATCTGATTGCCCAGTCGACATATGCCGACTGGCTTGTCTAAAGAGTCTACATTTGCCGACTGACTTGTCTAAAATTTAATAATGAATAAATAAGGGTCAGAATTGCCCTAAGATTGCATGAAGTAAAATTAAATTACAATGGACATATCCTCTGTCAGAATCACTTTTAGAGAACATATATTATGAATACAACAAAAGCATTTACTCAGTGCAGCCCCACTAAAATTAATTTCTCTTACCAAAAAATAATTTAATTCAAAAAAAGTAGGAAAAAAAGTATAACTTATAATGTTAATGCAATTAAGAAGCTTGTAAGTTTTAATACTATTTAAAAAAAATATGTACGTTACATGTTTTTAATTAGTATTAAAACTTACAAGCTTTACTCTTTTTAGTCCTAGAATTGCCTCTGATAATATATACTGGTATGATAAGGAATTTATTATATCAAATAAATAAATATGATCAAATTTGAATCACAGAAAATAGCTTCATCAGTATAGATGTATAGAATTTAAAATTTTTTACTCATTATTTGTTTGAAGTTTGGTTTTAGTATACTTTTGATGTTTTTTTTTTATAATTATTATTATTGTTATTAGGTGCTCCCAAACATCCTTAAAATCTTTTCAAGAGCACCATGGAAAAACTTTTAACTAGGAAGTTGATACATATTTAGCTTTTTTTTTAAATATTATAGTTACGTTAAATAGTGATTTATTTTAAAGCACTACTTAACAATTTTATGACTGCAATACAAGTATTATACATTTAATAATATTTAATATATATTTTTTATATAACGTTTTATATCTTTTTATTGTTGATTTGTTGGTTTAAATCGACATTTGGATCATTATGATCACACTGCTAACCTTTGGGATGATAGGTGTGGTCATTAGATTCAAGAAATGAATTAAAATTTATTTGCGAATATAATTATTGCTTTAATTAAGATTTTTCTCTTACCAAAAAATAATTTAATTCAAAAAAAGTATTGTTCTTAACGAGATTTATCTCTTAAAGAGATAAATCTCGTTAAGAACAATAAATCCTATTGAGAATTAAGGGCGGAACCATAGGGGAGAGGTGATGGGGGTGTATTTAGTATTTATAGCCTTTTATAAAAAAGCATATTTTGTTGATTATTTTAACAATTTATATTACAAATTCTAATTTACGATTTCCCGAATTTGCAAAACAGTCGATCACCTTTTCAACATTTACTGGAATTTCTCTGTGCACATTAAGTAAGACCAATCGGACTAGTCTGTTTTCTGTCATTCGTGTTCTCAGCCAATTTTTAATTCTTTGCAAGTTTTAAAAGCTACGTTTAGCACTGGCGACACTTACAGGCCATGACTTTATGATTTGAAACAACTTCTGAGTGACTTGATATTGCACCTGGTCACACAAATAAATAACAACAAAAAGATTAGTAGGTAGTGATATGATTCTCCCCTCATCTTTCATTCTTATACATTTGCACTGCCATAGTTCAACTTCCGATGTAAACTCAGGTGCTTTTGGATAATAAGTCCAATAATGATGCCATAGACATTACTGATTCCAGAAAGAGTTTCAACAATATCTTTATGATTCAGTGTAATAATATTTTTTGGCATCAAAGTATAGGTTTGAAGAAATATTAAATTTTCATTAGAAAAAGACGCGTATTTATGTCTAATATCAACACATCAAGTCGAGGGATGTAAATTGATTGCCTTTAATATTCTTCCATTGTATCTAAAGGTATATTTTCACGACATGTCTGTTGCTGTACTATTGTTATACTTTTGTAGATAAAACTTTTTCAGTTATTGTTTTTTCTGCGGCTCTAAAATTTTCCTTAAACATTTTTTCGCAGTTTTCTCTTTTATGTCTAAAAACAATTAACAGGTCTTTAATGCAATTTTTTGCTTTATGTAAATCTAAACTTTTTTCTTGAAACAACTGACTGAGCCCATTTGTTAAGGAAAGCTAATGTACTGTACAGCCTAAAGACACAATAAAATCACTTTCTCTAATTGATAATAATAAAATTCTTGCTTTTGATGAAGATGCTCTGTCATTCCATTCAGATACATTGTCCAGTGCATCAATTATTTGTGGAAGCTCAACACTTAAAAGTCAGCAAAGTATCATCTCTTTCACCCCATCGTGTTTCGCAAAGTGGAAGCAGTTCTGAATTTAGTATTTTAAAATTTTTTAGCATAATAAAATTTTATTTGCAGAAGCATTAAAAAAAGCAACAATTTCGCCCCCCTCCCTCTCATACTTGATGGTCTGGATCCGCCCCTGTTGAGAACATAGACCTAATAATCAGAAACTCATTTACCTGAAAAACTAAATATAAATAAAATATTTGACAAGTTTATAATTCTTCACATAAATGTAAACAGATACATGATTAAAGTGTGATGAACTGAAAATAAGAAATAGTGTTTTTTAAAAGATATCTCAAAAGATATCTTTTAAAAAACTTATCTTAATATCTTTTAAAACTTTTTATAGAAGAAAAAGAGAATCAAGTTTTAAACCGTTGAGAGAGCAACATTTTGAAGCTATCGCATTTGACTATCAAAAACAATTTTAATGCGCCAAACAACTCAAGCAATGATTTTTATTATAAAAGAGAATTTTTTTTTTTTTTTTTTTTTTCTTTTTTTTAACATTCATTTGAAGGCTAGAAAAGGTTTATCTATATTTATGATGAAACTGTTATCAAAAAGAGTCCAGATGAAGTGACCTCAATACTATATGATTTTTTTATTCATCATTTAAATTCCTTAGTAGAAAACATAGATTTGTTCTGTGATTCTTGGTCAAAATAAAAATTATACCGTCTAAACGTTTTTGGATTATATGGTTCATCATCAAAAAAGACTTTACTCCGTTAAAGTTACCTTTCTTGAAAAAGGTCATTCCTACATCAAATGTGACAAAAATATGGGTTTCATCAACTGCAAACTTCAAGTCAGTAGATCTTTTTGATTGGGTTTGGATGTTTAAAGATGTTCGCAAACAATAAAATCCTTTAAATTTGTATATTGAAGACTATGAATCTCAATAGATAAATTTTTAAGAACTTAAGGTACTTAAAAAGTTTACAAACGAACCTGTTTTTTTAAATAATTTATTGTTACCTGATCGCAGGAATACCTAAAATTTTATATTTATCAATTGTAATAAGTTTATACTAAACGTAAAACTAGCAGAACTTGAGTCAATATTGATTCAATTTTCAGACGGGTAATAAATAATTTTTCAAAAATCCCGCATGAGTTGTCAGCTTCTGCATTGTTTACTGTGAACCTAAACCGTACGCTTGGCATTAAAAAAAAAAAGCAAAACATTGTTTTTATTATGGTATTCTTATTAAATGTGATTGAAGAATTAAGGTTTTATATTGCAAAGCGTTTTGCAATAGGAAAAAAATCATAGTCCATTTTTAACCTACCTCAAATATTGATTAATAAAACGTGTATTTTTCAGATATAAATATTTACATAAATTACCTTAACAAAATAGAGCATTTTTGAATTATATTAATTTATAATTATACTGAAATATATTAATATATTAAAGTATTAATTCATTGACAAAAAAAAAAGTTTACAAGTGTAACAAAAACCTTGCTTTAATTTTTGTTTGCTCCAGAAGTCTTATAAAAAAAAAAACTCAACAATAAAAAGATTAAAGAGAATATCAAATGATATGTAGATTATATTTAAATGAAATATATCATTTAAAAGTCTACTTTAAATTTTTATATATTTGTTATATAAATTTTTTATAATAATATTCGTATTCTTTATTAAACAATATGTTACTAAATTAAAAGCATATTAAAACGAAACTATACTAAGTTATGTAGTATTTTTTGTTGAAGCTCTCATTCCGTCTAGGCCTGGGTCAAATGGTTTTGTTGATATATTTTACTTTACTTTTTTTATTAATTATAAATGTTGAATTTCAAAGTTTAATAGTTAAAAAAAATTTTTTATTAAAGTGAAATTGAAATATCATAAATAAAGGGTGTTTATGAATATGTGCCCCGGGACGTTAAAGTCACATGATACAGTATGAAACTAACTTACTGATTCTGCATCTTTAAGTAATGAAGATAACACCAAAAAAATAATTATTTTCATTTCAAAATTATGATTTATACGTGATGCTAAAAAAATATATATAATTTCACATTTTTACGTTGCATTATCACATACATACATTATGAAGTTAATAATTACATATTATATTAAACAAGTATTATTTAAGTAATATAAAACTGTGTGAAAATTGAATAAAATGAGTAACTTTCCTCATATTTAATAGCATATCAATATATATATATATATATATATATATATATATATATATATATATATATATATATATATATATATATATATATATATATATATATCTCTACGGACATTTGTTTTTTAAAGTTACATTCTAAATGTATTTTAAACGACTTTTGAACGTTCTCTACGAAAAAATATTTAGAAAATGTTTAAAAGACTTTTAAAATACATTTAGAACGTAACTTTTGATAACAAATCCCCACTGAGACCCTTCTTATTTAAGTTAAAATAAAAAACCGTTATAAAAACAAGCAAATAATAAATCTTCAACGTGTTATCTTATTACAGAACTTTTCTAAGTAGTTAACATTAACAATGTATTCCTTTTTCGAAAAAGACAAATTACGTCTGCTGTTTATTGATTTATTTTTGCCATAATTTACAAATCGTTTAAATAATAAAATGACGTTTGTGTTGTATAAGTTTGCTTATGATTACCAATTTAGTTTGTGACCAGTTTAGCTTGTGATTCATTTCATTTATGTTTATTATTGGCTTTCTAAATTATATATCCGTAATGACTGCATTTTTGAAGTAAAATAATGTATAACATATTATTTATATATTACTCACATATTCTTATACGCAAATGATAATAAAATATATGTTACAAATTATAATAAAATTTTTGAGTAAGTTTTTGCGTAACTTTACACAAGTGCTGCAAAAAGCTCGTGTAAATGTCATCTACATCTTGTGTAAATCTCATCTACAGCTTGTGTAAATGTCATACCAAATATTTACGAAAAAAATTATTTGCATACATTTATTATAACATTTGCTCAGCTAGACCAACGTTACAAAAATGATGCAAATAAACAGCCAATTTGACAATTTCTTATTAAATATTGCATTAATTGCTTATGATGACCAGTTTAATTACGTTTAAAATCTTTCATAGATATTTTGATAAGATTAAAAAGATAAGTAGAGATGGGTAAATATATGTAAAGCAACTAAAAATAAATATTAGATATGAAGGATATTCTAATATTTATATTTTTATATATAATATATATATATAAATATAAATATTAGATATGTATCTGATGCATGATAGTAGCTTGCAACAAAGAACATGGAGGACATTTTAAATAGAAATTTAGATAACTATTTTTGTTGCGCCAATTTTGACATATTGCTGTTTTTTATTGATAATTTTTTTAATTATGTTTGATGATGTGTTTATATACAATTTATTGTTTTATATGCCACCCAAGAGATAAGATTTATTCAAAAAATTATACTCGCAAATAAATATATATATATATATATATATATATATATATATATATATATATATATATATATATATATATATATATATATATATATATATATATATATATATATATATATATATATATATATATATATATATATATATATATATATATATATATATATATATATATATATATATTAGTCATGTTTTCTTAACTTTTCTATTATGTTACCACAATAGAAAGATTAAGTTTTGATGTGACTAATTATTTTATTCTCTTTTACTAAACAATTAATGGTGTTTTAAAATAAACTTTTTAAAATAAATGATTCATGTTTTGTATGCAATGCATTCAAACCCAGAAACACATAAAAGCTTAAACAATTTTTTGCATTTACGACTTCCGAAAATATTTGTAACATATATTTTTGAATAAAGTTAGCCGAAAAACCTTTATTAATCTTATCGAGGACAGCTAGCTTTAGTGGTACTTTAGCCTAATAAGCTAAAGTACCACTGGCTATTGTAGCTAGCATCATATCGTAATAGAATCGCTATCTAAAAAATTTTGATATGTAGGTATCAACCAGTTATAGGTTTGTTGATATTTTATAGCTAGCTACAAAGCTACGATATCTAGCTAGCTACACATTGCTACAAAATCGCAATGTTTAAAGTTCAATTACTCTCATAATTATAATATACTCAACACTAAAAATCGAATTTTTAAAGAAGTTAAAGACATTAGGAAAAAAAATAAGAAAAAAAAAAATCGTTTATTATAAAAAATGAGTATATTATAATTATGAGAGTAATTGAACTTTAAACATTGCGATTTTGTAGCAATGTGTAGCTAGCTAGATATCGTAGCTTTGTAGCTAGCTATAAAATATCAACAAAACTATAACTGGTTGATACCTACATATCAAAATTTTTTAGATAGCGAAACTATTACGATATAATGCTAGCTACAATAGCCAGTGGTACTATAGCTTATTAGGCTAAAGTACCACTAAAGCTAGCTGTCCTCGTAGCCAAATAACTGTCTTTATCTTTTCAAATATCGATAGCTTTTCGCTAACTTAAAAAAGCGATCCTCGTTGCCAAATTGCTGACTTTATCGTTACGACTATTGCTAACTATTCGCTAGCCGATTTCCCACCGGGACATATATATATATATGTCACGGGACATATATATATATATATATATATATATATATATATATATATATATATATATATATATATATATATATATATATATATATATATATATATATATATATATATATATATATATATATATATATATATATGATCTAATAAACAAGAAAACATTTTTAAGTTGTTACAATCATTAATTTTTATATTTTTAGCTCATGATTTGACAATATTCATGCTTAGTTAAGATTAAGTTAATATTGATTAAAGTTAAGATAAGAGTACATATTTTTAATACATAAGTTAAGTGTTTGAAATAAAAAGGAATCCTTTACAATTTGGTAACAATCCAAGGAAATGAATTTCGAAACTTTTTAAGAAAACTCTTTAATGGTTTCTATAATGATTCTAGTTATAATAAAATCTTGAACGCTTTTGTCTCGTCCGCAAGTATGGTTTTTGGAAAATGCATAAAATGAGTTCTTCTGACCATAGTATAAAATTTAGTCTATTGCATTATCTATAGGTAATAATAAATCATCAATTAAAATGATTTTTTAGAGAGTTACTAGCTCCATTATTACCTTCTGAATGAACATTTTTTTCTATGTTAAGATATCACAAGCTGATATATCATGATGTACTATGTATTAATATTGCACTACAAGAATCAATAAATATTGTTGTCAAATGCATTTTAAATTGTAAAGCTAATACAAAAAATTAGTTACTTAACAAAGTAGTAAATTAAATAATTAAAAAGCTGTATATAAATTTTTAAATTTAACTTTACAACATCTCAAACTTATTTTCTATTCAAAGGAAAAAGTTTATGGCTTTACCTATGGGCTTTTCATCAGCACCTGTTTTTCAATTTCTATCATTTTTGAAAAAAATGGAGCAAGCCGTACAATAAATTAAAAACAGTTTTTTTACCAACGTTATGTAGATGATATTTACTTAAACGTTAAATGCTTGTGCTTGTTGTCTTTTCATGCAAAATAGTTACTTCATACAAAATAATTCTCATTAATTATTTTATTGTTGCAACTTCTAAATTAAGCAGTAGAAATCTTGGTCTTAATGATGATATCAATTTCTAAGTTTCTCAACTTAGAAATTGATATTATCAACTTGTAGTGGAAAAATCCATAGTTCTTATCTATATTAGAACTATGGACTTTTCCATAGTTCATATATATATCATCCATAGTTCACAAATTGATGTTAAATCCAATGTAATGTTGACAATAGTGGTGCTATTGTCAACATTACACTGGAGGTTGAAAAACTAAAAGGTTCTCATAGTTTTAGTATAGTAATATATAAAATAGTACTCAAGAAATAAACTTTGAATGGAATTAAAAATTTTAATTTTTGAACATAAATTCATCAATAGAAATAAAAAAAAATTACCAGAAATAAGAAATCATAAAAAAAAAAGCTAACTTGCATTGGATATCCAACTAAAACGTTTAATAAACCAAATATTTGTGAAATAATTACTTAAAATATACCAGTCATTTTAACATAAAATTTGGAACATATCTTAAACATAGTAATAAAATTTATTTGATAGAACTAAAAAACAACTAAAAAACACAAAAAACTTAAACAACTAACAAACACAAAAAACTTAAACAAATAACAAACACAAAAAACATAAGCATGCCAAACAAGATTAATGTAATAAAATTTCATGAATTAAAACGCGTTGAAAAAATATCTCCTCTTAAATGAACATGAAGAACAAAATGTGAAAATTTCAGCTCTTTTTCATAACGATTTTAAGCATAATCATTTTACAAACTTTTTATTATTATGTTTTATTTATATATCGGTTGTCATGTCGTTGCTGTGGAAAAATTAATGCATAGCCAAATTATTGATTTATTGAAATAAATTATTGAAATATTCATGTATAGCCAAATTATTAATACTTAATCTTAAAATGTTAATAAAAAAATTTTGTAATCCGTGAACAAAAGAGTCAAATTTAATTTTGTGTGTATCAAAATTGATTTTCTTGTGCTGATAAGAAGTGCGATTTGAATCCAATTAACTTCATTGAATCTCTTGACTGCTTTAAAATACTATTTCATATCCTCTTTATTTATTTTTTTAGTATCCTTTTTTTTTATACCTTCTTTTTACCTTTTTTTTTAATATCTTTTTTTTTATTTATTTAAAGTTTGCAGATTAAGGTGGTTTATACCTGCTACCGAAATCTAAATTTCTTATTGCTGGCACAAATTTAGTTTGTCATTTCTTTGCAGCTTTTAAGGCCGTGATGGCTTTTTTTAAAGGATTTCTAAACAGAGGCACTATAGTTTAAAAAAGATTAAGCAAAGGTTATATATAATTTTAAAAAAATAGACCCATTTCCTGACCTAAATATTTGTTTAAGCTTTCCTAAACAAA